TGGCGTAAATGCCTCAAAAAATTTTTTTTCTGCTTTGTTTGCTTTTATGGAGACAGTTTCCATAGTACTGAGTGACGTGTTTAGCAGTGAACTGTTAATACCAAAAATGACATTCGTACTTATCCATACACAGAAAGGAAAACAAAATTTAAACAAATTAAAAGTTTTAGAGAAAATTTGGAGAATTATAGTCATTGTGTACAAAACCAATTTCGGATTGTCAATGCATCTGTTCGGTACTATCTCATTGGTCATCTTCGCTGTTTTCACAGCTTAAGTAGGCTCCTCATAATTTGTTTTTAAGAGAAAGGTTATCTGTCACTGTAACCTGCAAAAAATACCAAATACTATAAATTTTATTTCTAGGCATGCGGTCCACAAATGAGAGACATAATAAGACCCGTAGGGCCGCCGGGAATAGATGGATGCGATGGGAATCAGGGAAACCCAGGACCTAAGGGTTCAACCACTCAGAAAGGGATGCGTGGGATACAAGGACCGCACGGGCACAAGGAAGTCAAGGCGATAAGGGAGAGATGGGGCCGCAAGGACGAAAGTCCAAGAGAGTTGGCTACAAGGAGAGGAAGGAGATATAGGAATAATGGGAGAAGGAAAAAAGCAACAGGCAATGAAATTAGTGGGAGATATCGAAAATTTTATAAAGCAAAGTTCCATAAAATTTCCAAGCTTCAGCATCATCACCATCATTATTCGTTATTATATTAATATAAAACTTTTTGAAATTTAACCAATTTTGATAAAATATTCTTTCTCTTTGACTGTGCAAAGCATTGTTATAGTTAGGCAGAAATTGCACATTTGCTTGAAATTTCCGCCTTTCCTAAATGTTCAAAAGACTCATTCACACATAAGGAAGATTGATATTCACAACAGTTCAACTAATTTTAGGTACAAAAATTATTCAACTGAAAAAAGAACGAAAGAGAAGGTAAAATGAGAGAGTCAGTTTTGAGTAATAGAAAAATATTAAATGTTAATATGTCAATACAGCGTTGCCTTTACATTCAGCAAATAATGCAATCAGTTCTTTTGGCGGAATGATAAATAAAATTTCAGCCCTCTGATCAATTTATAATGTATTCATTATAAACAGTCTTTTGTCGTCCCGTTTAACTATTGACAAAGAGAACACGGCTTTATTTGTATTTCACCCGGAAAGTATTAAGCCGTTTGAAACCGTTCATATAAAGACTGTTTAAAATAATTTAGAGTTCAGAAAGTAAATTAAAAGTTTTGATTTGAAAAATTATGGAAATTAATTAAAAATGTTTAAAAATGAGCGAATTTTGCTTCACAAAGTTTATAATCTATATTCCAATATTTGTTAACAAATTCTATTAAGACATCGATTATAATTTCAGATCTATCAATTTTATGACATATTGGGATGGACGCATCAACGACAAATTGGATGCAAATAAAAACAACCGATATATAAGAATTGATATCACTGAGAGCGACTATTACAATATCTCCGACAAATTTCATTGCCTGCTGCTTTTATCATGCAGCTCCTGCGTCTCCTTCATCTCCTTGTTCTTCTTCCACACCTTTCGGTCCTTGCAGTCTTTGCATCCCTTTGTTGCCTTTCTGACCTTGTGGCCCCGGCATTACTTGAACTTTATTTTGCTTGGTGGACTATTTGGGCCTTGAACTCCTAGTCACTAGGACCCTGCCGATACTTTTAGCAGCGATAGACTGCAAGCCTGAAAATGAAATTTATACATACCTATTACTTTACAGGTTTTTATCTATAACATTTTTCACTTGTAAATAACCCGTTACGGAACTTATTTGGACTACTATAATCACGCAAACAGCAAATAGGAAAATATTGAAAAGATGCATTGATACCGGCAATCTGAAACTAGTTTTGTGGATAATAATGGATTCAGACTTTCTTTCAAACCATCAAAAATTCGATTTTTTCAAATTTTGCAAAAAGCATAAGAAATTATATTGGGAAATTATCTCTCTTATATGAATCTTTCAGAGATTCATAAAACAAAGAAACATTTCAAAAATTCTTTGTGAAATTGTCGTATGGAAATGCAGCAAAATGCAACATTAAACCATTACTGACGGCATCTATGAAAGCTAAACGAATCTTTTTATTTAAAGAATTAAAGTGAATGAAAGGAAGATTCGGTTGACTGAGAAGACCAACGGTTGATAGAGGGGTAGATGGATAGAGCAATAAGATTTAAACCTTAGAAAAACAAAAACAACTGATATAATAGGAGACTGATTATACCAATTGGTTAATAGAAAAGTTTTCTCTTTGCTTAATTTCTGAAGTTGTTTGAATCATTCAACCTCAACCTTCTTTCTTTTGGCAGACTCAACTAAAGTACAAGTTTGACTTGAGTTTGACTTCAAGTTAGACTTCAAGTTCAGGTTTTTTTTTCAATTCATTGATTTGAGAAGGATTCACTTGGATGTAATTAATAGTGGTGTAGAATAACACCGAAATAGGTCGAGACAATTTTTTTTGGTGATGAGAAAGGTAGAAGTAGAAGAGATGAAGCCTTGATGTTCCTCTTTCCTTTTTATTTAATTCTGAGTGATTTACAATATACATTCTGTAAAATGCTATTGAATATAAGGATAGGTATGTAAAGGTAAAAAAGAAAGGCTCTGTAAAGGAAGGTCTGATAACAGCATAACGATTGCAACATAACGGATTATCAGACCGGAAACATTTGCATGTGAATTGGTTTACAATAATTTAACCTCAAGACTACTGATGAAAATGTAGTATCTGTAGATTGAGCCGTTTTACGAACATGTTGTACGATGTGTGCAGAGAGGCATTTCGATTCAACATGAACACAATTACTGAAATTCAGTTCATTGTTTTCAAAATTGAATCAAATTTTGCTTGAAAATTACTGGTAAAAAAGGATGTTATAAAAATAAACAATTGGAGCGAAAGAACTGAAGAGATCGGCAAAGCTAATAGACTTCGATATGACAAGAAAGAACGTGAAAAAAGCCATATGACCTTCTCACTTTCATATTTCTTTTATAATATTAATTAAATGCAGCAAATATGTCACATTAGGAAAATCAAACTGAACAATTCAAAGGGAGGACTGTAAATAAAAAACGTTCGATCTTTATAAAATTTCTGTTGAAGCTGTTCTTCTGAAAGATCCAAAATATCTCTCTGAGGAACTTGATCAATAAAGCACCAAAGTCTAAACATGAAATCCACC